GCCACTTGTAGAGATGTTCATGCAGATGTTCACTTCCTCCTTCCAAGAGCTGGTCCTGTCATAACACCCACTTTGCAAAGGAGGAAATAGCGCTCAAATGCCAGGAGATTGTGAAGAAATGCATAGGACTGAATGCAACTGTGTACTGAAGCCCGCCTATCTCTCCTCCTTACTGGGGTCTGAACCTACAGGCTGAGTGAAAACCCAGGCTGAGACCAGAACACACCAGGAAAGGCAGAGGGGCGCCATCTGGTGACCGTCTTGGTGATTGGCAGTAAGCTGGAACCCAGATTTCTTAGTCCTTTGGTACTGTATTTCTGATGGGAACAGAGACTAACACCACCAACGAACCACCCTGAGGGTTAAGAGCTTTAAATTTCTTCACTCATTTTAAAAGTATGCACACTCAGCACGCCCCCTGGGTGGAGGGCTCTTCTACAACTTGAACTTTACCTTGGAAGTAAGAACAATGTAACCTTAAAATTTATATCCTCATAGTAATTTGATATCAAAAAAACAACTATTCAACACTCCCACAAAAAATAAAAGCACGCACACTAATAAGAAATCCAAAGGAACGAAGCATCTATATGGTGAGAAGTCAGCCTCCCTACTCTCAGCCACCCAGACTGCCCAGAAGCAACTCTGCTTATCACTTTATGTCTCCTTCCAGACAGTCTGCTTAAATTAACAAATATTTTTATACAAATAGTAGTATATCACAGTAGGCAGAACGATGCCTCCTTGCCAAAATATCTACGTCTTAATCCCTGAGACTTATGCAATGTTCCCTGATGTACCCAGAGGGACTTGGCAGCTATGATGAAGATTACGGGCCTTGAGATGGGAAACGGGCCTGGGTTGCCCAGTGAGCCCACTGTGTTCACACAAGCCCTCAAAGCTGAGAACTTCTCCTGCCTGTAGTCAGAGGAGATGTGTGATGGGTTATGAAGATGCAAAGATTCTGGGTTTGATGCTAGAGGAAGCCCAGGAACACAGAGGGCAAGATAAAGACACTCCCTCCCTCCCCTCTGGCCTCCAGAAAAGCAGGTGGCCCTGGTCACATCTGTATTTTAGAGCAGTAAGGCCCTTGGCAGACTTCCTCCCCCAGAATTCTAAGATGATAAATTTTCATTGTAAGCCCCATATTTGTGACCACTTGCTCCAGCAGTGAGAGAAAACTACTGAACACTGCGTGCTATGTCGCCCCCCCACACACACACACACTGAAGCCTCTGCCCCCTCACTCTGCTCAGCGCTGCCTCATTCTCTTTCCCGCTGCACAGCACCCTGTCAGGCTGGTGTTCAATCCTTGCAGTAAGGATGGTCATTAGGCTGTTGGAGTCTCTTGTCAGTCCTCCATTGTCCGATGTCATATGTCCCAGTTTTCCTCATCTCTAGCACAGATATGCTGATGCTTGTACACCACACTGAAGTCAATGGGAGGTCCTGAGGTCAATGACTTTGGGCCTTGATGGAGGAGCTTACTATATTCTCTCTATATCATACAGTCATAAAACCATAAAGCCTGGTGGAAGTTATTAGATGTGCAATTTACATCAAACTTCTAAGTCTTTAATTTCTTTAATGAGAAATTGTTTTCTATTAATCTCTTATTTTAATATCAAGCATTATATGATTTAGTGTTTTTAATAGTAGGCTCTACGACAGAAATCGTTGATCCCATCATTCACCATAATTATGTTCTACAAATTGGTACAAACGCGGAAGGCACGAGCACTAAACTGTGGCTTCTAGAGGAAATACAGGGGTCAGTTCCCATGAGCCTCTGGCCACATTTTTGTCAACTGAAATGAC